AAAATCTATCTGATTAACTATTATGTATTCATGTGATACTTTGTAAAAGTTATTCGCTTTTCTATATATGACATTAATGTTAATAAAAAAAAAAAAAAAAAAAATTTTATATTATAAATATAGTCACACTTCTATACTATCACCGGATAGATATGTGTAATTATAAAGGAGGATGACTAATAATTTTAAAGGCAAATACTTTTATTTATAATAAAATGTACTGATTAAAACAAACTTTAATATTTTAAATATTAATAAAATCTTGAACTATCAAAATCAAAAGAATTTAGATAAAAAAACTCATGAGATTATTCTTTTTATTAAGATATATATTTTGAAAAATCTAAAAGTCCAGCAGAGGTTCCAGATTTCTGTCAATAAACTGTATATGGTGGTTTATGTTTTACAACGCTAATTAAAAACCTTAATTAAAATATTGAATAGTTTCTCAATGATCTAAATCCATTATTTGAGTACGTAGTTTATATATTATAACTCTAATGATATAAAATATATTTTGATATTACACAAGAAAATATGACTCAATAAATATACAAAAAAAAAAAAACTTTTTGTAATGATCAAAAGCTAATGTGAATTATTATTATTATTATTATAAGAAGTCTGTTAGCCAATTTTGAAAAAAAATCGCATTAGTCGATTTTTTTTTTCATTATTGGCCAGGGTCATTAACTACGATAACCAAACATTTGTTGTAATCTTAATAGTTTTTGTTTGTGTGCATCATCTAAAATGGGTGAATAAATAATGAAACCGTTAATTTGATTTAAGTTAATTTCGCCAGTGAATATAATTATCAATAACGAAATTATTAAACATTACCTTCAGTCTGGCCATTTTCTGCAGAATTTCCACCCAGAGGAACTATTTGAAATAAGGTTAATAAAGAATAAACAAATAAAAAGACCGATTATTAATAAAATAACTCACATAAAGTTTTTACTTCAGCAATTACGTTAGCACGTTCCTTTTCTTCCTCTTCAGCAGCAATATTTGCAAGACCACGACGTATATAACTTTGGAAATATGGACCCGTTTTGGATAAATGTGACGTAACTTTACTCTCCATTTCGGGATGTTGTTTTTGAAATTCATATAATTCGTAGATACCCTAATTATAAAATTATAATATATTAGGAATTTTTAAATAAATCTTTTGCACAAATAATTATATTAACCTGTTTTGTTTCTTCTCGCGTTCCAATTTTAAGGAAAATTTGTGTCAATCGTGAATTCATTTCTACTTCATGTGACCCTGAAGAACGGTTGTTGTTAGTTGGTGTGGGAAATCGTGGTGTCATGGGGGAGGCTGGGCTGGCTGGTTCAGAACTATTATATTGAGTCTCATTAATTTGTCCAGGAACTTCAGGTACCGGTGAGCTTCTTGCGAAATTTGAAAGGGTAGTTTCATTCCCAGCAGACTTTCCAGAGCCAATTGATGATGGACGACTCGGTGAATTATCAAAAGCCATCTAATGAATAAAAAAAGGCATGTTAACATTTTCTATTGCATAAATAAAATTTAATGGATTAAATTAAAGTCTTGAATTACATTTGAATTAGTTGGTTGCTTTTCTTTTTTACGGCATGCTTCAAGCATATGATGTAAATAGGGATATACATAGCTACGCTGAGGATCTTCGATGAGATCTAGATGATCAAATACTTTCTCGCCGAGACCCGTTACTAATTCAACCAGTAAAGTTTTCACGGTACGAAGAGGCATTTCGCCTAATGGGACTTTTTCTGAAGCTCGTCTTTTCCATTCAGCTGGTGGTATAGCAAGGAAAAAGTTATTGAGATCCCTCAACAATTTATTGGGTAAAAGGATTTCGGACTTTAGGTTTTCTTGTACAGATCTTGCTAACTTCCATAAACATTTCATTATCAGTTCTGTGAACTTAGTATGAGTTGTGACTGCAGCAGTATCTACTTCTCGCAAGTTTGCTGATGATTTTTCTAGAATAGATATTAAAGCACTAAAAAGAAAAGGATAAATAATAAATAAAATGTCTAAACTCACAACTAACTATTTGGAAATAATAATAAAATTACCTGTAAGTTGCATTACGATTACTATTTTCGAGCACTTTCACCATTGAAACATTTAAGGCTTTTGATAATTGTTGGCCTGCTTCTAATACTTGGAGATTTAAATCCAGCAAACGATGAGCAAGTTCGGATAGTAATCGCTCAAGTGATTCTTGTGAAACTGCTAATGCTAAATTTTTATTGGAGAACAACAAAACTAAGGCATTCACTAAATGTTTGCATAGTCGAACAAGAGTTTGTGATTGTGGATCAAGTTGCGTATATGACATTCGTACTTGAATAGTTAGAGCATTAACAAGCTCATCAACATATGGAATAATTGATTCAGGAGAATTGTTCAAATGTTTATCCAACTCTTTCAATGCCTCTATACTTTGTTGATGTTCAAAGCTCATAATTTTAGATATGGCCACTTCTACCAAGAATACGTTTCCAGTAGTACGCTGCCTAGTTGGTGGTGGTATTCCAGAAGAATTTACTACAGTTGAATTCTCAGAATTAGTTGTTGCCGAATATTCGACTTTGTCAATGTCCATACTCATAGATTCTTTCTTTTGGTCAGGTTCATCAGAACTATCGGTATGTGATGAAGCTTGTCCATTCTGTCCCTGACGGAATTTTGAAAATTGGAGACGAGAAGGTGCAGGTAAACCTCTACCTATTCCACTTGGAGGTAATCCTCCCCTCTGAGCTGGTGATGGAAGTTTGTTCGGTGCAATTAATGATGATGGTGGGTTTGGTGCGATTAATGATGATGGTGGATTTGGTGCAATTAATGACGACGGTGGTGGACCATTATTAGCAGATAGCGAAGATGGTGGTTTGAGTTTTAATCCAGGTGGTAATTTTGGTGTATCATCATCGTCCACATCATCAGAAGCATCAGTTTCACTATTTTTGCTATCTTTTGAACCCGATGGCAAAGCAAGCCTTGATTTTGCACCCATCTTTTTAGCATCTTTCCCTCTTGGAAGTGGACCAGTTCCATGTGCTGGTCGAACTGCTTCAATCATTGGCATTATAGTTTGTTTTACAGCTCCTTTAAGATCTCCACATTTCGTTACCACATAATCGTAACCAGCACTTTTAACGATAGGACCCAAACATGATTGCGCAGCTTTCCTTACATCCCCATTGCGATCTTGTAAACATGATAATATGGGTGGAACTAATGGCTGCAAATCTGGTAAAGTTTTCTTTTCATCCGCATCTTTGAGACGATCTGAGAGCCAACTTAATAAATCTTTTCGTAACAGAGGGTTCTCAGAACTAAGACTTGTTGCAAATGAAGAAACCATTGGATCAAGGCCATTAGCAGTCGCCAAACAATCTAAACAACCAATAGCACTACCACGGACAGTAGCTTTTTGATCTGTTAACACAGCTGTCACAGGACCAACCAACATCTTTGTATATCTATCAAAAGGCTTGCCCATTGCTGTTGCAAGCTTGCCACAAATGTCCAGTGCCATCATTTGAAGATTCTTATTACTATCAGCAAGGCGTAATTTAAGAATTGATGGAAATTCACCTAAATTAGGAATGATTTAACATTGATGCCTTATTTATTTTTACGCAATAAAGAGGACAGGGAAACAGTGTAATAAATACCTAAGCTCGGTTTAATTCTCTTGTTAGCATCCACAATAGCAAGGACTTGCTCAAGAGCCTCTTTTCGTGTTTTCCATTTATCATCATTTGCTTCCTAAAATAAATCATTTTACAAGGTAATTAATTTATAAATTAATAACATAATAAGCATCGAATATATGTTATACTAACAGTCATCATTTTACTAGTAAATTGTGCACTGATATCAACTTTTGGGAAAAGCTCATCCAACGCATCATTACCACCGCGCCCCGAGCTTGCTACCTCGACCTGATTTCAATAAAATATTCATGAATATATTAATCACGATAAACTATAGGTTTGAGTATTAAACATATATATATCCTAATTAATAGATTTGATTTTACGTACGCTTGTTTTTGTAGGCTGTGGAGGGGCTTGATCAGCAACTTTTTCGAATTCAACGTCAATTGTAGCAAGTTGTGTAGGATTTAAATCTTGAACAAATGTCCTAATATCTAAATATATGATTATCTAATTAATTAGTAAACTTCCCGTTTAAATTTAATATAGTAACCTAAAAATTTACCTGGACCAACATAAATCCTCAAAGCTCCCAAGACGGTGACAGAATTAGTACGGACAGCCGCGTTAGAACTAGTTAATGTGAACTTGATGAAATCAATCAATTCTCGCACTTGAACTCCAACAATCCCGAATTCCATAATGGCACTATGAAACCACGTTAAACTATCAGCCAATACTTTTGGAGATTTAGCCTTTTTCAGTGGCTCATATGCTAAGCAAATAAAACCAAAATAAATTAAATAGAGAATACCTAGTAAAATGTGAAAGCAAATAAGATACTAACATTGTCCAAGAACAAATTGTAGAGATGTTTTTTCAGCAAATGCAGTTAAGGTTTCTCCAGCGCTTTTTTTGAGTTTAATGTCACCCAATTTTTCCAATAATACTATAAAATTTCAATATTAATAAAGTACAAGTAACGAAAACGTAATATAATAGTAGTAACGCGCAAATTACCAGGAATAGCAAGAGCTGCCGCTGGTTTTCCAAAAGATGGTATCTTAGAAGCAATTAATTCCATTATATTGAATGCTTTGGACAATACCTAAATAATAATTGTCTACTATGAGAGAATGAAAGAGAGAAAAAAAGTAATGATTAGCAAGGTTCTAACACTAACTTGGAAATTGCTTTCTTTCCATCCAGGCTTTTTGGCAAGAAATCGAACTACTAGTTCTGCTTCAATATTAGAGGGGTCCATTTCATTTAGCGTGTTATAAAGGTTTTCAATTGCTATATAATAAAACAAAACGATGAGTATGAATATTTGATTTGTGAAATAATGATTAGTAGATTACCTGCTAAACGAAGTTTCCAATTTTTGTCACCCATATCAGCAGTCTGCTCTTCCGGAACCATATCTGCAAATCTTGATTCAGTTTCCTCATTTGAGAATTTGTATTTCAGTGGTTCTTCTTCCTTAGCTTTAGTACCTTTTTTCGATGGCGCAGAAGTAGCCGATGGTTTGGCAGCTTTTTTAGATTGTATAGCTGGTTTAGAAGCTTTTGGAGGTTCTGCCACTTTTTTCTAAAATAGTATTAAATTAATATTATTTATGATAATTTATCAGTTATTTTTTTTTTAAAAAAAAAAGCTTACTTCATCTTTTTTGCTTTCTTCGTCTTTTTTATCTTTTTTAGCTCCAACTTTAGCAGCAGGCTTAGCTTTAGGCGTTTGAGTTGGAGCGGCTGCAGGTGGTGGTCTCTTTGCATTTGTAGCCTTAACTTTAACTTCTGCCTTTTCGAAGGCCTCTTTAATCTTGCCCTTTTTAATATCATCAAGTCCTTCTATAAAAGGATTCATAGCTTTCTCTCCGATAACTTTCATCATAGTACCGAGACCTTCTGCAGCAGAAACACGAACAGGCTCAAAACTATCCTCGGAGGCTTTTACCATCATTTCAATTAATGCTTTGATTTCTCCCTTATTGGGAGCTACTTTGGTATTCCTTAGGCATCTAACTAACCATTTCATCGACTCTGATTTTACCTGCGGATTCTTATGCTTCCCTGCAGCTACAATATCTTCAGTGACATCAGATATCGTGACCTTTTTAAGTTTTTTATTTTATTTTTAATATTCATATAAAATAATAAACGACGTTAAAAATTTAATTTGCTCACGGAATTAAATATCGCATCTAATGCAGACGCCAAAGCATCCACAACACTCTGCTTCCTTTCTTTGAGTTTTTCTATCATCGGACCCGTTACCTGATATTAGAATGTAGATTTCAGAATTTTTGAAAATGCAAGCAATAATAAACAAAATTTGATGAAAAATTTACCGTTGATTTGTACTTTCCAAATGCTTCACGTAAGCCTAATGCTAAAGCTTCTATAATATTTGCGGCTAACGTTACTACTAATATATTTGAATCTGAAATTCGCTGTTAATTTGACGAATAATATATTACGAAATTTAGATTTATATATTCAAACTCCTAATGAAGATGTAAGTAATTTATATTGAAATACCTTAGTAAGAGCGCCAACTAATTCTCCATAATTATTATCTACAATCCTTGGTGTTTTGCAAATTTCAAGTAGACCATCTAATGCTTCTTTTCTATCTTTCCACTTTGAGGATTGCTATAAATACACACATACTGGTATTAGACAGCTAGTCTCACTAAATTATATATGATAATTTGTAATACTATACCAATTGTGTATAAAAATCTTTGGGGATTTTTGATAATACGTCAACAGGTTCTGCTAGATCATAAACGTCAATCTCTTTTTCTTCTTCGGCTTCGGCCTCTTCATCTATCAAACCAAATATTAGATTTGTATTCCAAATTCGAAATTTATACAGACATATCTCTAAAACTTACCTTTTTCGGCCTCCTCTGTTTCTTTTTGTAACCGTAAAAATCGTTGTTGTGTAACTTTTTCTTGCGGTAATTTTTCAAAGGCTTCGTTTAATTCTTTCACCTGTTATCAAAATTTTAGTTGTGTAATAAGGAAAATAATTTCTACCCTAAAGATAATTAATTACCTGAACTGGTTTCAATTCCTGTAGATGTGGATTAATTGCTTGACCTAGCCATTTATAAAGTTCTATTACTAATCCCGTTCCCTATTAAATAAATAAATAAACATGTTAAAATTCAAAAGAAAAAATTCCAATCGTATCACTATTATTCACATTCACTATAAATTGAATTGAATTACCTCCGCTCTAACGTTTTTATCGGTATGACCAAATATTTTTGATAAAGTTTTGAGAATTGGTTTTACGTTAACTGTTTTTGCCCCATATAATCTAAATATATGAATGAATAGTTCAGTGAAGAACTATTTGGTAAAGAAATAACATGCATTATTCCAAACACTAAATGCCTTATGATTTCTTTAAGTGCAAGAACAGTTGTAGCAACTATTTTAGGTTGTTTGGCATTTAACCCTCCAAGAACATCTTCCTGTAAATAGAAATAATAAATAACTAATTATCAACATTTGAACTGATATAGCTATAGCTATATAATACATACCACTACCACTGCTACTTGATCTAATGAGTCCACCACTTCAATGTATGTATAAATAAGTTCAAGTGCTTTACTCTTTGTTCCAGAACGAGAAGAACCGAACCCTTTTTCAACAACGGCGGGTATGATAGAACCCCTAGTCCTATAAGAACAAATGATTAACCATTTTTAAAAAAAAAAAAAAAATTAAGAGACAGCACCCATAATTTGATAATTAATGAACGTGAAATAACTTAATTAGGTCTAAAAAAAATTAAAAGAAAAATATTTGCCTTGTTGGATTAGGTGCATTTTCGACATAAGCCTGTAATGTTGACAAACCGGTCTCTTGAGCAACAGCGTTAGCGTCTGTTGCAATATTTTTCAAAAAGCCGTCATAAGGTCGGAACTCGCTTTCGTGTGATGGATCCGCCTGTGAAAATTTTTTTGAAAGTTCTTCATATGCACCAACTCTAACCTTCCAAACCTATTAAAATAAGGACGTTAAAAAAGATTATTAACCCTTGTATACTTTACTGTAAATGTGGTATAAATTAAAGTTTCACACCTTATGTGTAATTCGTTCGGTAAGAGGTAGTGAAGAGTAATCTTCTTCGGGAGTCGCCATTTACGTAATAACAATGGAAGACGCGGGTTTTTTTTAGATGTATTGGTATTTTAAGGGTGTAAGGTTAGGTGTCTTTTTAAACTTAATAGGTTTCAAAATTATCAAAATATTGGAACATCACGGAATTTATTTAATGATGTAATTCAATTTGCGCCATTATATCATACCGATTTATTCCGCTTAAGGCAATATGCATTATGATTAGTAGAAGACACCGGAAACCTGTGTTTCTGTACTTCCCGTGCTTCTAGCATTACTTCTTTGATTACCGATTTCATCACCGTCTTAACGTTAAAGGCTTTTTTTTTTCTTTTTACTTTTTCTTTCTAATTTACATCAGAAATATGCCTCCGGTCAAAGGTTTTGTAATATACTCAATATACAATATTTTTTTAAAGTACTTTTAATATCCGTATTTACATGATTTAAAAACAGTGAATGTTAAATGGAAAGGAAAAAATTATGAGGTGGAACTTGATACTGATGCGTCAGCCAGTGATTTCAAGGCTCAACTCTTTTCCATGACCGAGGTTGAACCTAGCAGGCAAAAGATCATGATTAAGGGTGGAATTTTGAAGGTTTGTTTGAAAAAGAATTTTTTAAACGGTCCGATCAATCTAACAATTTATAAATAGGATGACACCGATCTTAAAACACTCAATATTAAAGAGGTCAGAATTCTTTATCATTTCTGTATTTGTTTAATTCAATACCTGATTACTTTAACACATAACAATATTTCTATTTTTTTTTTATGAAAAGGGTGCTTCAATTATGGTATAGATCAATCAATCATCCTTTACATCACGTCATTTTAAGTTTTATTGAAATTTTAATTTTGATTAGATGATGGGAACGCCTGGAGAGTTACCAAAAGAACCGGCTAAAAAAACACTATTTATAGAAGATATGACAGATAGGCAATTGGCAGAAACTGTTAGTCAACTTATATTTTTATCACATATCTTTATCACACAGCTTATTTTGATGCTAATTTCTCGTTTCAAAAAAAAAAAAAAAAAAAATGATTATAATACAAATGGAAATAGTTGAAATTACCATCAGGTCTGAAAAACTTGGGTAATACTTGCTATATGAATGCCACTTTACAATGTCTTCGTACCATACCTGAATTACAAGAATCGCTGAACAGGTGTGTATTAAATATAAATATTAAATAAATGCAGTTGATTTATCACAGGAGAGTAATTTGCTATACCATTTTACATCCATATAAACACAAAAGGTTTCCCAACAGTGTTACGAGTCCAGATTTGCAGATAACTCTTACAACATCTTTACGTGATCTTTATAAACAGTTGAATCGAACCACAGAAAGCTATGTGCCATTTACTTTCTTGCAGGTAAACATTATTCAATGTTCACAGCTCTTACTTTTAATTCATTTATAATTACTTAATCGTCATATGATTGATAGGCGCTTAGAAGTGCTTTTCCTCAATTTGACCAACGTAACGCTAACGGTTACATGCAACAAGACGCTGAAGAATGTTGGACTCAAATTGTTACTAGTTTGAATAATGCAAATATTCCAGTACATAGACTACAGGATGGCTCAACTTCATCAGAAGGGTCAACATCATCATCTTCAAATGATTATTTTGTTAAACAGTACATGACGGGAGATTTTACTTCGATGTATGAATTAAACTAGTTTAGGATGTTCTTCGATTTTTTCATTATAGTCAAATTATTAATTTAATCATCAGTTTAAAGTGCGTCGACGCTCCAGATGAACCGGAGTCTACCACTCATTCGACTTTTACGAAGTTGAGCTGTATTACTTCAGAAAAAGGTATGTATACATACATGCATATTATATATATTGAAATGGTTTTTTTGCTCATAATTTAGGCAAAATGTATTATACTCATTTACTATTTAAATTTAGACTTAAATTATATGCAAAGTGGCATATTAATGGTACGATTTCGAGCATAATAACTTGATTTAATCTTATTGATCTATATTACGTTTTTTTTATATATATATATTAGGCCTTAGATGAGAATATAGAAAAAGATTCACCTAGTTTAGGTCACATTGCCAATTATACTAAAATTTCGCGTATTAGTCGCCTACCTTCATACCTTACAGTTGGATTTGTGCGATTCTGGTGGAAGAATAATCGTCAAATTAGGACCAAGATTACACGCAGAGTCCAATTTCCTTTTGATTATGATGCATATGATTTATGTACAGATGAATTAAAACAAAAAATTGGACCTTTGAGAGCTCACATCCTTGAACGCGAAAAAGAAAAAGATAGTGCTAAGGTTTAATATTTTACTTTCCATTTTAAACCGAATATATAATAGCGTAAACACTTATTTATTCTGCGTCATAGCGTAAAGCAAAACTCTCGGTGAATTCCAACGAAAAGGAAACTGCCGAGTCTAAAAATGACAGTAATGTTAGTGAAGTTGATGAAGAAGTCAAAAAATTAATTGATCCAGATTTAGAAAAAGATATTGGAGCTAATGTGTCAGGATTATATGAGCTTTGTGCCGTGCTTACTCACATTGGACGGTCAGCAGATTCTGGTTAGTATTATATATTTTCCTTAAACACATTACCCTTTGATCCTTATTTATCTTAATTTTAGGGCATTACATTGGTTGGGCGCGTAAACATGATTCACGTAAGTATTTTACAAATAAAAGAGTAATTATTATAGCATTTAATCACATTAATCATTAATCATTATTCGCTATTATTTCAGCTGAGGAGTGGGTAAAATACGATGATGACAAAGTCTCAATCGTGCCACAATCAGAGATTCAAAAGCTTGACGGTGGTGGTGGTAGTGCGTATTGAGGCAAAGTATTCTTATGATTTCTATAACAACGATTATAATTTAATCAATACATCTCATTTAATATAGGTGATTGGCATATTGCTTACATTCTTCTATATCGATCAAAGCAAATTGTCTGAAATATACAGTAGTTTTTACTATATAGTAAATTTTTTTGTGATGTGATATATATTTTCAGATTTTTTATAAGGATGGAATATCAAATTTATTAGCTGAAATGATCCATTCTTGTGAATTTATACGAACAAAATTACTTTTTTTTATATAAAATTTAATTTTGTTCAAAAAAAGTACGCACGTACGTACCCGGTAAATCACGTGATTGATGAGCAGTTATGCAAATTTTTGAATCAATTTGGCCCGACCACTTTCAAATAATTCTTAAAATAAAAAACAAGGCTATTACTGTATTAGACATTACCATGGCACTGGATCAAACGGTGCTTATACTCGCATTCCCGTGTAATCATTTAGTCTCAATTCAGTAACTTAAATAATACAAATGACAACAATCATAGTGCAAAAAATTTGTTCTAACGAGTTTTAATTGTAAAAAAAGTTTTTAATTTAGCTCCGCTATATTAAGAGTTTACCATATAGAGAATGACATGTATATATTTAGCTTTATATCAGTTGTATGATATCATATGTAATCAATGATTAAAGTTTCGGTATTGTTGCATTACACTTTAAACTTAATTTCACACACGCATCCGTAATTGTTATATCAAAGATGATAAAATATATTGCCAAAATAGTTCAACGAGTTTCATCCAAGAATAATACGTTTATTTCATTGTATTATGCACTATTGCATCAATGGTCCTATAATAAATGAGAGAATCAAACCGAAGCATAAATCCGGTAAGGTTCCAATTCGGATCCACGATTTTTTTTAGAACTGAGAGGATAACCTTTTTTCTGATTGGTCAATTTCATTCAGTTGAATTTATACGTACGTACAGTACGTACAGTTAGAGTAACATTTCACAAGCAAAGGCGAGGAATTATCGTTATGCAAAGAAACCCCATATTACATAATAAGCATATGTACATGATTATAACTAAGCTTTTTTTTTAATGCAGTAAATAAATACAGTATTTAAGCTTTATTCATGAAGTTTTAGAATCTAAACCTTAATAAATAAAAATAGTCAGCAATAAAAATAGTAAAACTTTAAACCAAGATCAAGATTATTTACGATTGACCAAAGAACCTTATACTCAAAACAGTGGGCATAGGCGTTATTTTAAGTTATAGCCCGAATTAAGCTTAATTTAGGCCAAATTTCGAAATTACACCCTTGTGACGTTATAATTTACGGTAATGCAAATACCACGTAAAATTTCATCGATGTCGATATTATATGATTTATTTTCTTTGGACTTGTCAACTCGTGACTCGAATAATTCGAGTTTATCACGATTTGAATAATAGTTCGTGAGATTCGTGAGTCACTCAATTGTTAATGTTAAAATATAGATATGCTTGCTCTTTTTTTAAATAGTAATATGAAATACGAGTGTCATAAAAAAAAAACAACAACCAGTTTTCGGGATATTATTGTACCATTATTTAATAAAAAACATTTTCACCGTTTTAAAACATGCATTAAATTTAGACTCTGCATATCCAAATCATGTGAAAAATATTTTTTAATGCGTTTGCCGAATGATCTGATTGGCCAAAAAAATTCATAGAGCACTGATTGGTTAAAATCTACCATTAACGTTATTAATTATAAGGCAACGATTAATATCATGAAATTTGTTTTGTCGGAGCAATATCGATGTATCGATGTATCGTGCAAATATGATCATGATTTAAGTCATTATTGGCTAACTGAGTTTTAATTCGAGTTTGTTGAGCTTATGTAAAAAATAACGAGAAAAAAAATTTATGATCATAAGAGTTTGCACGATAACTGTTAATATAGTAACCAAAAAGCTGCTCAAACATATTCTCATTTATTAATAACATGGAGACCGTCGTCGATCAAAAAACTACTATGCTGCTCTTCGTACTAGAAGCCCTTACAGCATATAAAAAACGATCAGAAACTAATAAACATTCACTATTCTAGTTATTAAATTATTATTTTTTATATATTGTATTTTATTATTCATCATAAATATTTATTGTTTATTATATCTCGTTCAATTAACTTTAAAGAACCTGTAAGTAGTTTTGTTGTCTAATATGGCTATTACTTAACAGTTGTGGCAGTTGTAGCAATAAATTATTTGCAAATTTCGTTATGAGAGCGAATAAGCCAAAATTTCAGACGCCAAAACTTTGAAGAAATAACTCAAGCATCGATCGTCATTTTTGTATTAATTATTATTGTAGCGTTTGAATGTCATCTCAACCACTAGCCCATTACATTGAATGAGGTGCTCTTAATCGAATGATTCGAATACTCTTCAGAGCTTAATTCATGAATCACGAATTGAAACGAGTCTATTCTCTACTTAAGATTCAAACAAATCAGACCGAAAAAATGAGTTAGCCAAAAAAAAAAAAAATTTTTAAAAAAAACCATAGACTTAATCGATAAAATTGATTAATCAATTAGTCAATTAATACTAATCGATTGGTTGGTTATCAAAATATATAGCTTGGATATAATTTTCTATATTATAGCACTTTGCAAGAAGATGTGACTTCATGATTTTTGTGATGATGAACGAGAAAATTTCCGAGATTCTAAAGTTGCCTATTAATTCATATTTTCGATCAGTTATATTTATATTTACTGCCGGCCCTCCCAAACCGGTATGCATGGTGGACAGGTTTTGTATCGGTTATCGGATTTGGAAAATCACATGACAAGATAGTTGCTAATCTACCAATCAAATTACAGAACCAGTACTAATGATTTTTATAAAATTCATCGAATTTTCTCAAAATTTGACAGATAACTACTAATTCAAATCAGCTTAAGTTTTTACTATAGATAATATATATTCATTTATAATATACAAAAATTTCAGCTAATTTGAATTGATGATTTTTGAGAAATTGCTTGTATACTATGGTTAATTTTTTAAAAAAATTATCTATTATATACAAGTGGTTTCTCAAGAACTATCAATTCAAATTAGCTGAAATTTTTGTATATTATAAATGAATATATATATTACAGTATCTATAGTAAAAATTTGAGCTGATTTGAGTTAGTAATTATCGAAAAATTTTCTATCAAATTTGAAAAAATTTGATAAATTTTATAAAAATCATTATTAATCTATCTTTATACTTTATTAAATTCATGATTCTGATTGATTGCTAATCATGTGGCTACATATAAAAATCAAGAATTTATACAATTGGACTATCCAGATATCAGGAATAGCAAATTATCAAATATCAATTTCTAATATTAGATATCAAATACAAATTTTATTTTTAGTATATAATTTTTTTTTTTTTAAATATTTGGAGTGTAGCTCCTGCCCCTGACTTTTATTAATACTTAAGTAGATTGACATATGATGGTGTCATAAATATATACATATTATTTATCAGAATTAGGACTAAGACATCAAGTACCGTAATTTGTAGCAAATAGTACTCCCTTGTTAAAGTACCCGCTCACAGTCAATTGTGTATCAATTTAGTCAAATTATATAGTCAATTGATGGTCCCAGGAAGGGTACTAATTAATTTTTAAAGCTTAGGAATGTAAGAGACCCGGGTACTATTTGCTGCAAATTATGGTACTAAGACTATTTATCTACAGCTAAAACCTACCAGAGCCATTAACATCCTTACACATATATTGACCTGGATTTTATACATCTTTCTCTAATTGCCAATCAGTATTCACATGTCCGCCATATTACCTACAAACCTTTTATCTTCAACTTCCAAATTGGTGTATACTAGGTAGACGCTTATTGCTTCCAGTTTGGTATGTCTGGCAGAGCGATTTCTCTTTTAATCCTTACTTGGTATACTTTCCAGGAATTTGTATCTCAAGCCATGCAGCTGTCTTTACCCAAATGGATAAGTATCTCAAGTCTGCATGCTGCCATAACTAGCTAGTTTTCTGCAACTTTCGGGACTCAGGTTTTAATATATCCGATTAGGTCTGTGCTAACAACTGTACTTTCCAATATGGTGACGAGGCTGCCCAGGCATGTTTTACAAATGCTTCCAGTAGTCAGTATAGTTGGAGGCTCAGAGGTAACAGATGTGTTATCATTTCTTTTTATGGTGATTCTCAGCAGTTGTAGCCTCCGGTTACTACTGTATGTGCTTATACCAGCTATATCTATATTGGTGTTCCCAAGTTCTCTTAATACTAAAGACTCCCATATGGATATGACCAGAGCCTATTAGGTCTATCAACATGTACACACCTCCATGCTTCAACTTCTTATTAGCCAGAGAGTTACATATATGCCAGAGGTGTTCCAAATCTGGTAAGGCCAATTTTTTACTACAGGTTCTTTTGTATTCACCACATTTTTCACCACTTTCCAATTCTGGTTACTGCCTGGTTATTCTCTCAAACAAGATCCCCAATGCCGCCTTAGGAGTTGTTGGTACTATCTTGCCAATTGCAAATTTACACACACAACCTTTGTATAATAGAACCTTCTGTAACAACCACCATTACACGTAGTGCATTAGCAAATTTAATAGGGCATAATATTGCGCAATAATTTATAACGCGTAAAAAAACCGTAATATTACATAAAAATTTTCGCAATATTGCAAAATATACAATTACGAAATATTACGTAAGATTATTACACAATATTATATAAGAAATTATGCAATTTAACATAAAAAATTTGAAAAAATTTGAAACAGATTAACATAAATATTTATGAACTATGAGAACAAAAACAATTCGAAATAGTTCGAATTATATTAAAAATGTTTAAAATAATGAGCTATTATTTTTAAACGTCAATATTCAAGAATGAAACAGATTAAGATATATTACTATGAACAATGAGATCAAAACTAATTTGAAATAATTTGGAA